GATGATTAAATGGAGGTAGAGAGCACTTAAATAAATTCCCCAGTTTACAATCAATAATTGGCAGAACTGTGATTCAAACTAGTATGCTCTGCCCCAAAGAAAGCCTCCTCCTCTCTCTTAAAGACATCACATTTACTTTTTCCATCTTTCTCTCTGTCTCTCTCCTTGTATTTTTTGCTAATTTATTTTAAAGTTGTAGATATCTTGATATTTCACTCCAAAATTATCAAACTTAAGAAAATTAACACTAATTTAATATCACCTAATATACAGTTCATTGTGTGCATATCTGCATGTCTCCTAGAAATGGAATACCTGGGATCTACATGTACACATTAACTGCTGGGTAATACAAGTTGCTTTTCAGCATGCTTTACCCTGTTAGACACCTTTTCATAACAACTTGTAAAAGAGTTTCTGTAGTTTTACATCCTCATCAATACTTGGTATTGTCAGACTACAAATTTTTGCTAATCTAATGAGGTGTAACATGGTGTCTCATTGTGGTTTTAATTTGCATTTACCTGATTATTTATGAGGTTGAATTTATGAGATGATTCTTTTTCCCTCTTATGGGAAATGCCTGTTCATTTTTGTTACCCATTTTAAAAAATGGTTTGTTTGTCTTAAAGTCCCTTCTTTTCAAGCTGGAAACTGGCATGATGAATTCTTACTGTAACCTCTGGTTACTCAATGGCCCCACGTCACAAATGGTCCATGGAGAGTGAAGCTGAAAATAGAGGAATGCTTTCCTAAAAGAGATTACTTGGAAATTTGGATTTCTGAGGTAGAAATGAAGCATACAGCTTTATGTTGAATAGCAACATATACACACAGTTATAAAATCTCACAAGATAAGTAACAGAAATAGCAGCAGTGCTATATTTAAGTAAGAGGGATGAGTTGAATTCCATGTCCTATTTCCCACTTGTCCTATTTCCAGGCTTTGCAATCTAAGTTATGAGAACTGTTGTAGGAGCAAACACCAAGTGCTTCCTCTGCCTTCGTACCTGTCCTTTAGACAGTGAGTAGACTTCGGTCATTAGTGCTGCAAGTCACTCCATTTTCACCAGTACTGAGCCCAGAAAATCAATAGTAGGATCGTTTAATAATGCTCCAAAGACTTGAAAAGAGCCTGTTAAGAGGGGTTTAAACCAAAATAAAAGAACTTCAGAGTAAGGTGTTCCTGTATGTGTTGTTATTTTCCTTTGACTTAAAGAGAGCTATTTGTAGCTATGTACTCCTGTTGCTAGAATGGAATTCAGCCTAGGCTGTTAATCCAGATTTTTCCGATAGGACACAAGATAAACTGTATTGGCTTATTCATGTGGCTGTATAAGAAAACTTAAAAAGAAAGCTAAGTATGATTAGTCATTTGTTTCAGTGTATAAATGTTAAGATTTGTTCCTGAAAATACAAATCACTTTAGGGTAATTTATAGCATTTACTGGTTCTTATCTAAGTGACTATGGAAAATAGAACAATTGTTATACATGGGGTAAGATGTACTATTTATGACACTGTATCTTATTAGCTTTAAGTTTCAGATAATACAGTATTTCTAAGATTTCAAATACAAGATTTGGAAGTAGATGTTATTGTGCTTCACTGCTATTGAGTTCATCCAGATGATAAATTTTCTTGATTGAGATGAATGTATAGTCTCATCAAAATTAATAGAATTGCACACAGTTATGTGCATTTTATAATATGTAAATTATACCACAATTTAAAAAACGTATTTGGGGAAAATGAAATTTTAGAATTACTCTCTGGCTGAAGTGGCAGAGATCGTATATCTAGCAGAGACCCTCCTGGAGCCTCTGAAGGATTGTATAGGACTGATTCAAGATGTGTCACTTTGAGGAAAGACAAAATAACAGGGGCTGCATTTTTGTTGCCCTAAAACCTGACATAAAAGCCAGGAGGGCCTGGGTGTGGTGCATGCCTGTAATCCCAGCACCCAGGAGGCTAAGGCAGGAGGATCACTGTGAGTTCAAGGCAAGGCCAGCCTGGGCTACTTAGTGAGTTCGAGGCCAGCCTAAACTGCATATTAAGATCCTGTCTCAAAAAAAAAAAGGCCAGGAGCAAAAATTTCCCCTACCCTGTCTCTATGGCCAGCTTAAATTGAAAGAAACATACTTGTATTCAACTATCTCTTCGCTTTGGCCAAGGTAAGGAAAACCAACTAATCTGAAAAATTGTGGGGAGAGGAAATGTAGAAAGCTATTGTGTTTAGAATTTATTCCATTTCTCTTTGGGATCCAACTTTGATCTTAGTGAGAAACAACAGAGAACCAGTAGGTAAAAGTAGGTGAATGGGTTACACAATTCTGTTTGATCTTTTACTTTCCTTCCTTGCTCTTCCTCCTCTTCAGAATGATGGCAAACAGCAAGGGGTGGAGTAATCTCCTTGACCTGAGACTTTTAGAATTGGAAGTGTCTGGAAGGGGCTTTCATTCATTCAACACGTTTGCAGTTTTTCACCCAGATGTTTTCAGACCTATAATTTTGAGAACCAGTGATCTAGTGTACCATGTTTGTTTTTAGGAAAAAGTTTTTATTAAATTAGTTGAATTATTCTTATTTGTAATATAATGATCTTCTAAAACATATACACTTAACTCTATTGAGTGTTAAAAAATCCTTAGAGTCATATAATTCTTCCTTTGCTCCAATATCAATATTTTTTGTGAATTAAATCCATTTTCTCTCACAGAAACCTCTGCAGTTAGAATGCTAATGCCAATACCAGTAACTGAAGACAAAACTGTTTGCAAGTTACTCTTCATAGATCTTATTTCATACTTATTCATGTTTTATCTATTTCTCTGTACTTTTTAATTTGTTGGATTGTCTGTAGAATTATTGTTTTTGGATTATCCTCTTTTTTTGTTTTACATCATAGAAAAAACCATGAAGATGTTTTGAAGCCACTTTGATCCTATTTTCAATTTTAGTCTCTTCCCTTCCCTTGTAGATATAGCCAAATTTCTGAAATTGCTGATTCTCTTTCTCATATGTTTTTATATTTTCTTCATGTATTTTCCTCTAATGATAATTTGTTTCTGATTCATGATTTGAAATATACGTACATGTCACATAAGATGTGTATGCACCATTCAACATTATATTTTTTGCTAGTCTTAGAATTTATTTAGATTTTGTATTTCTGGTATTTTTTCTGTTCACCCTGTTTTGTGCTTTTTATTGAATTGTCAATATTCACCCCCCCTCCTTTTTCAGTGCTGGTGTTCAAATCCAGTGCTTATGCACTCTAGGCAAGTGATCTGCATACAGTTGCCTCAGTTCTTTTGTATTTTAATTTTCTTCTTGATTTGGAAAATATATATGATAATTCCATTTCTTTGGTGTTTACTTTTACATAGTCTTTTTAAAAATTGAAAACAATTCAACTTATTTATTTATGTAGGTGCTAGGAATTGAACTTAGGGGCTTCACTCTTGCTAAGCATTTACTCTAGCATTGAGCTACACCTCTGACTTCTAAATTTCTCCAGGAATGTAAAGTCAATGTCTATTTTCTCAGGACAATATAGGACCTTATAACTCTTTAACTCACATTTCTTTGTATGTTTTATCTTAGTGTTACATTACTTTCAAAGTCTTACCATTAGTTATCAGGTGTGTTTGTGTGTGTGTGTGTGTGTGTGTGTGTGTGTGTGTGTATGTGACTGGGGATTAAATCCAGAGTTTTTGCAGTGAGCTACGTTCCCAGCCCTTTTTATTTATTTTTTATTTTGAGACAGGGTCTTAGCTAAGTCACAAACTTGCTCAGGCTGGGCTTGAACTTGTGATCCTCCTGACTCAGCCTCCCAGAGAACTGGAATTACAGCCATCCACCGCCATGGCACTAGTTCAGTATTGATTATCAACAGTAAATTATTTAATTTTGTAATATATTTACACATTTCTGTATTCCCCCTTGGATTTTGCCCTATACTTCTTCCTTCTGGATTCAGTGGTTTTTCTTACCAAAGTAAGCCCTTTCGTAGGACTTTTGGAAAGGGTTACTGAATGGTGAATTAAAACCTCAATGAAAAGGTAATAAATAAGACAAAAGTGAGGAAAGAGTCCATGCACCAGGAGACAGATTTGAGGAAATGTCTTGAGATTGTGGGCTTGAAATGTCTTTATTCACTCAGTCTAGAATGGAAGTTTAGCTGGTTATGGAAAGAGAATGATCTAGGATGAGAATTATGTTTTTTTGAGATCATGAGAAAATGCCATTCCTTTCTATCAGACATCTGTTGTGACTAAGGACAAGTTTGATGATACTCTAATTGGATGTCATTTGCTTTTGTTTTCAAGAGATGTGCCTTTTATTTGCTTTTAAGATTTTTCTCTTTCCTGTTGACATTCTGCAGTTTCCCCATATGGTGTCAAATTGTGAAATTTTAATTTTTATACTATTGGGGTCTTTGTATGCTTCTATACCTGAAGGCTTGTTTATGTTTTTCTTTAGTTCTGGGAAAATTCTTAGCTGTTATTTTCTTAAATATTGTCTCTCTTCTCTGTTCTCTGTTCTGTCTGAAATATCTATTTGATTTATATTGAACCTTTTCAGTCTGTTTCTCAAGGCTTTTTGCCACATTTTTTTTCTTTTTGAGACAAGGTCTTACTATGTAGTTCAGGCTGGTCTTGGACTCACTATGTAGCCCTGCCTGGCCTTGAACTTACAGTGATCTTCCTGCCTCAGCCTCCTAAGGCTGGGATTACAGGCATATGCCATCACATAAGGGTTTCTTTGCCACATTTTCATAGTTTGTTTCTGCTTTTTCATTTATAAGGGTTAATTTGGTTCTTTTCTAAAGTTGTTTGTCTTGTTTTTATGTTGTCTTCTCTTATTCTTATAGTTTGGTTATAGCCTTTGTGTATATCTCTAATCATGTTACATCCATAGATTCTTCTTTTTTTTTTGTACTGGGGATCAAACTTGGGACCTTGTGCTTGCAAGGCAGGCTCCAGAACCACTGAGCTAAATCCCCAGCCCCATAGATTCTTTCAGAGTGTTCTTTTACATTTAGTTCTCTGAGTACTGATTCTTCCATTTGCTGTATGTGTTGATTCTGCCTCATGGTTATTTATTTCTCCCTGGACCTTGTAATTTCTGATTGTGAACTTTTATTTTTCTTCCCAGGAGATATAAAAGAATTCTGGAGTGAATGGACAATTTTACTGCTAGGATGGTAGAGGTTTTAAATGTTCTGACTTAGTTTTTAATTTAATGTTAATTCTCAACTTAGAATTCCTAAATCAAGTAGGTAGTATAAATTCAGCATCTATCTGTCTGTCTGTCTGTCTATCTATCTATCTATCTATCTATCTATCTATCTATCTATCTATCTTAGGCCTGAACTCTCTATTTCTTAAACATGTTTCACTTCCACCCAAGTTCCCAGATATGCAATACATCATTTAGGGATGCAACCAAACTTTGTTACAGTGACCTAGCTCAGTGGGGTTTTGGTTTTTTAATATATCAGGAAAGTTGATATTAGGCACAGCAGAACAGAAAGCCTGTTGTCCACATCGTTTTAGTCAAGTTCCTTGAGTCTTCTTTCTCCTCCAACCTCCTAGTGTGGTTTGTATCTCTCTGGTTGTTCTGTGGTGGAGAATTGGCTGATCGGCTTCAAGCCTCACAGACATGGTCTGGATAGGAAAGGAGAGAAGGAAACAACAAGGATGGCTCCCCTATCATGTGTCACACAGTCATACCTAATGTCAAGAGGGTGGACTGCACAGTGAAGCTTAATCTCCTGTCTTTTTTTTTTTTTTTTGTACTGGGGATTGAACTTGGGACCTTGCCCTTCAGAGGCAGGCAGCAGAACCACTGAGTTAAATCTCTGGCCCACATCCCCTGTCTTTTGATATTTCTCTTCATGTGTGGCACTTGGAGATTTTCTTCCCTTCCTCTCCACATTGGCTGCTGAGACAAATTTTTGGTGGTTGTATAATCCACAATGTCTCTGCATTTGCCTAGTCTGTCATGTTGCCTAAAGGGTCATTTATTTGTCCACAAGCTATAACCTTCATTCAGTCATTCACTAAAAAGATATTGGGTGTCTATTTTACACCATGCTCTGAGATGGGGTCTGGGGATATGGTGGTGAACAGAGCATGCTTTAGGGGGCCTGCCAAAATGGTAACTACTTCCCCCTCTGAGTCTGTTTGGAAGTCCACAGTTAGCATATTCTGTTCTTTTTTTCCAGCCTCAAGGATACTCCACAGAGAAACATTGATGTTGGTTTAGAAAGCAATTCTGAAACCCTTTGCTGGGGATACGAGGCTCAAGATATGTAGTAAATATGTGTGGAGCAGACTGGCTCAGTGATTCTTAATCCTTTATTTAGTTACCTTGATTGCTTGTACTCCCATCCTCTTTAGCTCCATATTCCTTAAGGATCCCTGGGAAGCATGGTTCGAATTGCCAGAGCAACCCTCACCATGCTTGTTTCAGTTGCAGTTTCCTCTGGTTTGTCCATCAACAGTATTCCATCTGCTTTCTCACCTTTCATAAATTTTTCAAATTTTCTAATTGGCTATTGGCACCCTTTCTTGTTTATGGACTATTATGGATTATTAGTTTTTATGTATCATCATCTCAGTGGGATTTTGGGAAATAGTCTAAGTATAGTAAATGTTTATGTGTAATTTTCATCCTTGAAACAGAAGCTCCAGATACGTGGTCATGCATCCTGTTGGCTCAGCACTGTCTTCAGAACTAAGAAAGATACAAGAGAATACAGTATAAGATATAATCCTTAGTACCAGCAGTGTAATGCAGAGGACTTGCACTGGTTTACAAGAGTTGATTGTTAAAATTTCAGGAATTTTGAGTTGGTTGACTTAACTTTGATATCTTTAAATTGGCTATGGGAGGTATATTTATACCACTGAAGTCAGCAAACACTGAGAATCAGCTCCCTCTCCTCCTTGAAAGCTAGGTGTAAAACATTTATCAGCACTCTACTAGCCTTTACTCCTGACTCGTGGTATAGCAGTAAAGATAAGACATTTACTGAAAAAAAAGTAAAATAAGTAAGACGCTATCAAGTACAAAACTGAATAGAGCAGACACTCAATCTGCTGAGAAATGTAGACAGCAGAAATCCATGTGAACTGTAATAGATGAGGAAGTTTGGGAAGATGGCAACCTGCCTTTGGCAAGGTAAGTGGGAGGGGAGCTCTGAGAACAGAGTTTGAATTCTAGCTCTGACTTTCAGCTGTGTGACCTGGGAAAATGATTCACTCTTTCTCATAATCATAATGACAGTCAGCATTGATTGCATTCTTAGTATGGGCAGGCACTGTTCTAGAGGCTTTGCATAAATTAAAGTAATCTCATCAGCTACAAACTGTTGCTTACCTTAAAGGGTTATTCTGGGTAGGAAAAAGTTCATATGAAAAGCATGCTTTGCAAAATCTCCCCCCAAAATTAGTTGTTTACTGGCAAATTTCTTATAGAAAGTTTGCAATTTCTATAATCAGATTTCTCCTGCTGGGTCCTTGAAGAATGGGTGGGATTTGGTTAGGTGAAGTAATTACCAGCCAAAGGGAAGGAAAGCACCAAACCCTGGAGGGAAGGACTGATAGCAATAGAGGGAGCTGGTTCTGACACTGCCAGAGGAGAGCGAGGGTTTACTTTGGGAAACAGTTAAATAAAACAATGGGATGAGTCAAGTGGAGACAGATTATGTTAAGTCCTATGTTCTAAGTAGGAGACTTTATATTTCATGTGCTGTGCTGGGAAGTAGGGAGCCATTGTGAGTTCCTGAAAAGGCAGGGGCGTGATTAAAACAGGATTTTAGGAATAGGATTCTGGCTTATGCTTGTGCAGAATGAAGTAGAGGCTTGAGGCGATGACAGTGTTTGTGGTGGTGGGCTTGGGAGAGAGAGAAAAGGCTGAGGTTTCGAGACAGTTCAAAGGGCAGTTCAGCAAACAATGAGTTTTATAAAAAGACAATAAGATTCATATTTTTATAATTGAATAAACTAGAAATATGTACCCACAATCTTTATATGAGCAATCTGAACCAGAAATTAAGAAAAATAAGAAGGGTGAATCCTTTCCCTGTCCAAAAATAAAAGTACTCTAAATTGACAGCAAGATTGTGTATGTTATTTAATCAGTGAAAAGTTGTTTTACTTTTCTTTTTTTTACATTGTGTGAGCATTCTGGTACTTTCTTTTTATTAAATTACATTAATGTGAATAAACTTGTTGAGTTTGTTTAGTTTTTAACTGATTATCACAGCATCTGTATTTAATATTATTTGACGCTGTTAATGGTTATCATGGTTTAGGGGATATACTTTTTCTGGAGACCGTGCAAGAAGCAGGCAGGGCATGTTCCTGTGCGTTCACAGACTTATGTCAATGAACCCTGTCAACAGGACATGTACATGAAGAGACTGGTTCTTCTGGTGCCATGCATAAAGCACCCACGCCTTTCACTCATCCTTGTCCTGGGCCACAGCTATCAGGGACACTGAAAGGCTGTTTGGCACCACACCAGAGGGCTTCTGCTTCATCATTCTGTCAACAACCAGCTTGGGCAAAGGCCACCAGTGCTTTTCATGTTGCCAAGTCCAGTGTAGCTTTGGAGCTTTTCATCTTTCATGAGTTTTGAACAAACTTAATGCTCCTAATCTCCTCCCCTTCTTTTTGAAAACCACGTTTGTCTTCTGGGGCTTCTGGGACATCACAGTCTCCAGATTCTCTTCTCTCTTCTCTGGTAGCCCTTGTTAATATGCAAGAGTTTATCATCCAGTTGTTAAATCGTGAACCTTCTCCACATTACTCATGAAAAAGTGCCCTCTCTCTCTCCTCTCTGTTTTACTGTACTAGCTACCAAGGCAAACTTTGCTGCTACCTGTAATTACCATCTCTATGTTAGTAATTCGTACATTTTTATATTTAATGTGACCTATCCTTTGCATCCTGCACCTGTAGCCAGCAACCTTCACAACCTCATTTGGCTGTCTGAAAAGCACTTCACATTTAACATGTTCTAAACTAACTTTATGATCTTTACCTTCAACTATTGTCTTTCTTTAATTTTACTCATTTCATCATAATTTACAAATATCCACCTGAAACATAACTCAAATATAGGCATCACCCCGAATAACTCCATTTCTCTGTCCTCCCATTCCTCCCAAATAATCTAAATCAGTTATCAAGCCCCAACAGTTTACCTCCCAGATAGCTTCTGGATATAGCTACATCTATGCAACTCTTTGGTTTCCTTTCAGTCTACTTTCTGAATCGTAATTACTCATCTTTTCAGAATATAAATTTCATCATTGGTACACACTACCATGGTTTGGACAAGTGTCTCCCAAAGGTCCACTGAAGCATTGAGGGCTCATTTCCTGACCTATGGTGCTATTGAGAAGTGATGGAAACTTTAGGAGGTGGGGCCTGGTAGAAAAAAGGTCATTGTAGGTACACACTAGAAGGGGATATTGGGACCCTGGCCTCTCTTCTCTCTCTTCTTTGCTTCATGGCTGCCATGTGGTAAGCAGCTTTGCCTCACCATATGCTCCCAGCCATAATGGTCTGCCTTGCCACAGACACAAAATCATCAGGGCCAACTAATCATGGCCAGAAATCTGTAACTGGGAGCCAAAATAAACCTGTCTTCTTTTTAAATTGATTAACCCAGGTATTTCATTATAATAATGGAAAGCTAACTAATACATGAACTGAATGTTTATGTTTCTCCACAATGTGTATATTAATTTCACATCTAATTTCAATGTGATAATATTTGGAAGTGGGAGATGATTAGGTCATGAGGGTGAAGCTCTGTGTATGGGATTAGTGCCTTTATAAAAGGAGACTTCTTCCCTCTTTTCTCTCCAGCAGAAAAGATGGCCATCTGCAAACCAGGAACTGGGCTCTCAGCAGACACTAGATCTGCTGTCACCCCAATCTTGGTCTTTCCAGCCTCTAGAGAACTGTGATAAATTAAGCCATCTAGTCTATGCTATTTTTGTTATAGCAGCCATAATGGACTAAGAGAGTCATGTTCCCTCAGGCCTCATAAAACCGTTTGTATGTCACAACAAGTTAAGTAATACTTTAGTAACAAATGACCCAGGGCATTTAATTAGCTTTCATCAACCACATTTCATTATTTGTTCACAGTGTCTATGGTTCTGCTCCACAGAAACTTCACTTTGGAATTCAAGGTGATGGAGCAGTCCCCTGTGGGATGTGGCTGGTTAGGGTGGAGAGAAAAGAAAAAAGGTAACCCACATGCTAGCTCATTGAGCTTCTGCCTGGAAGGGATGCATATATTCCATTGGCCAAAGCAAGTACGAAGTCTCTTCTGAGTTCAGCAGGGAGTGGATGCGCAGTAATCCCAGAGGAAGGGACACTGAAGGAAAGGAAATCATAATATTTGGTGACCAGCAACACAATCTACCACCCCTTTCAGTGGCATTCTGTGGTTTTGAGGATAAAAACCCAAATCTTTAACAGGCCTATAAGGTTTCTGATCATGTTCTCTCTGCTGAACTCTTGAGCTTGACCTCTTTTTTTTTCTTTTTTTTTGGTACCGGGGATCGAACTCGGGTCCTTGTGCTTGCGCAGCAGGTGGTGAAACCACTGAGCTAAATCCCTGGCCTGAGCTTGACCTCTCTTATTGCAATCCTTCTTTCTCTATAGCCTGAGCAAATTATTCTTTGAGCACCTTATGTGGCCTCTCTTTTCAGGTCCTTGGATATGTGGCTCCCTCCTGTTCTCCCTTTCCCAATTACTTCTGCTCTTATACTGTCCTTTCTCCCATTGAAAAACCAAGACATCATCCTGATGTCCTGGAGGAGGAAACATTTGCAACTTCTAAAAATGTGATAGAACCAGAAACATGCAATCGGTATGTGCAATTGGCTGTGGAGATTGTGAAACAGCAATCATGGTTCTATTTGTTCTGTGACAGGATGAAAACTGCAAATTTTTTATGAGACAAGAACTGTGGCCTAAGAGAGACCCAAGCACCATTTCCCACAGCGTGCTACCTGGTCACGTTTTGCAATCTCCTCCTTTTCTCTTCCCCAGTCCCATTTTGTAGCCAGTGTCTGGCCTTGGACACAGAGCACAGGTTTGGGAAGGTAATGCAGTTTGGTGATTTTTTGTACAAACACTGTAGGTATCTTGTTTTTCTTTGCTGTTAATGGTGAGGCAATGGAAACGTAGCAGAAAAAGGGAGGGCAGAAATTGCAAAGTAGGAGGAATTAAAAGCAAAATGTGTTTTCAACTTTTCCTTTCTCTAGACAATGAATAAAATGCTTCTGAACAAAGAAAAAGGTGCCCATAAAATACCTAAACTATAAGTAACACCTGTCTACTCAGAGGAAGGATCTCGTTAGAATGAGAAGAGTATATCCTTTTTAATTTTTCTTGAGTCTTAGGTCCAGATTTCATCATAATAGCTGAAAAAAAGCTGTACGTTTTATGAAACATGAGTGTTTATGAGGCATTACATAAATGTTTGACAGTAAGACAAGATTCATTATGTTAATGTTGCTTTTCTTTTGTTGATTCTTATTTAAATCTTTTCATTTTATTATTTTGACTTAAGAATAATCTTGCTTTGATGAGGAAAACTCACTATCTGATGCCTACATGATGGAATCATAAGGCCAGGAGGTTGACAGGAGGTGGACTCCTTCTGTCCCCGTTACACTGCATAATGTCCTGTGCTTAACTTTATCCATAAACGGGATTTTTCCTCTGACTAGCACGTTTCATCTCCTTTAGGCCTCCCTTTTAGAATTTCCTAGACTCCTAAAGTCCTCCTAAGTCTGCCGTGTTATCAGGACCTCTATATCAAATTAAAATAAAGATCTGCAAAAGATAACAGTAGCTTCTTTTCTCTTCTGTCACTGTGGTTCCTTTTAGCTGATTCAGCTGTCAACTTTGGCCCAGAGCAGCTAAGAACAGTCACAGCAAACATTAGCATTTAGAGAGGGACTCTGTCTCAGCCATTAACACATTCTTGCAAACAGGTTGCTGAAAAATATTTAAGAACCATCTTGTAGGTTTGGTTTGTGCTCACAGACCAACCTTTAGGAAACTAGTAAACACAGCTAGTATCTTAATAGATAAACACACATTAAATGGATGTATTGTTTTGGTTTTGACTTGTCACCAAAAAAATTGTCTTTACATTGGTGAGTCAGATTCACTATAGTAGAAGAAAAATGAATTCTCCTGGAAACTTCTTGAATTTGACCATGAAATAAAATGATATTAAGAGAGCTGGGGATTTAGCTCAGTGGCACCTTGCCTGCCTTGCAAGTGCAAGGTCATGAGTTCAATCCCCAGTACCCCCTCCAAAATTGATATTAAGAAAGTGTTATAGTAGTTATACTAGTTACAACAATGGACAAAATAAATATAACTGAAGACAATATTTTAATAGATTCATGTAGCAAAATTTGGCCTATACTAAAGAATATTTATTGTTCCTATTTAGAAACATCAAAGACCTCAATGTAGACAATACATTTTGATTCTACTTTTTACAACTCTTTGAAAAGCCTGGTCAATAGAATTATTGATTCAAAACATATACTGAGTGCCTGTATTGTGCCAGGAAATATTTATGCTGTTACACAATCTTATTTTCTCATTCATCTTTTTTTTTTTTTTTTTTGGTACCGGGGAATGAACTCGGGTCCTTGCGCTTGCGAGGCAGGCGGCAGAACCACTGAGCTAAATCCCCGGCCCCTCTCATTCATCTTTTACTCATTCTCTTCTTCCTTCTCATATTCTTTTTTCTTCCTTCTCTAGTGCCTCTTACATTTTCCTACTCAGATTTGTCCTGAATTTTTTCTTTATTTTTTCCCTCATCATTTGGATGTGGACTTTTCCTGTGAAAGTCAATGTTTTTCCTTGCTTCATCCTTCTTAGAAGGGAAGAGCCTTCAACTGGAAAAGTGGAAAATATCCATCAACTTAAAACATAAAAATAACTATGGAAACACATTTATTCAGTTATCACAATATTATGAACTTGGATATTGATTTGGAATTCTGCCCATTTTGAGAAACCATCTTTGTTGCATTCCTTACTTGGTGGACTAAGACAGTGCAACATGGCTAATAGTGAAATAATTTCAGCAACTATAAAATTCTGCAAGAATTCTCTGTGTTTACACTGGTACTGAGCTTAACGACATGCTGCTAGCAGAACACAGAACTACGCTTTTAAAAACAGTTCAATTTCAAGGGAACCTTTTAGTTCTAGGCCTATAATGTACTTTCAGTACCAATCCAAACTAGTGCATAAATTAAAGCTCACCTTAGACCGCTTAAATTTAAATGATTAGTCTGGGACTTGCTCATCCCATAGCACTGGGGGGCACGACCATATGATCAAGTGCAATCCACATCTCACAATTCTAGGAATCGATATACATGGATACACTGTTATATTATTATTAAATCCAATTGCTTTGCAATTAACCCAATATGACACCTATACAAATGACTCAAATAAAAAGCCTCATGTTTCACTGAGGACAATCAATACAGTGAAATCACAGTTACTGACGATGCCAGCATCTTGGCTTGTTACTATAGTACTACGTTTTTCTCAGGTCGGCACTGCTATTCCCTCTTATAAATTATGAATACCATAACCTTCAACTATTGGTAATGCCCACACCTCAAAAAGCATAATATTCAAACATACTTAACCGTTCATAACCCATCTTAGCTGGATCATGAAAAGTTGCACCCATTCTGCAATGTGCTAAATTATGTTTGTTATCTTTCTTCTTTGCTCCCAAAAGGAAATTGGGATGTCTTTTTTTCTGGTGAAAAACGTAATAGCTGGATTTGTTGCTAGATGAAATAAATATCTAGGAAAAAATAATTCTTGCTCTTCCTCTTACACAAAGCTCTTACAATTAGATGTCTGAAAGTAAAACCAAATCATGATAGTATCTTCAACTACTACTATTGTTACTATTCTGTAGTCTTATCTCCATTTTAAAAAATTAAGTGAAAGCATTTTACAATTATAACATGATAAAAAAACCCAACCTTTTGCAAAAACATTACAGCTGTCATTTTACATTATCCTCTTTCAGTAGATTTTGCCAGTGGGTTCTTCTGCCAGATGACTTGCTTAGAGAATCTACTTCCCCGAGGGCAGGAACTTTGAAGATCTCTGTAAGAATTGTGGGCAAACTATCAATAGATATTTATTGATAGTCTATTGGAATGTTACTTTGTAAAGATCTCCTAACTCTTTATTTTAAAGTAGACTAAATGACCTTAAGGAACATTTAGGACAGGCACTGGCCAAAAATGTACCTTTTCTCTATTTGTGTTTCTCTCTAGTCTCCAGAGACCAATCAAACAGGACATGTTTCCACAAGCTATTTCTATCTCCTGAAATGGGGCAAATAGAACATTAAGTCTGTAAGATACCTCTCTTTATAAACACATGATGTGGATGATTGAAAACAATGACTTACTTAATGCTCTAAGCAGAATCTGTTCTCTGTGAATCATCCTGTATACATAATAGTGATGAAAATGTTCGGTTTGAAATTTCTCCCTGGCCAGGGAGGAAACCATAGGGTGAATCATGGATTTAGTGATGACTGTTCCTGGGCAAGCTAAATTGAGAAGCCACAGGTTTAAAAAGGAGCAAAGAGTGAGTCCTTCACAGGAATGCGATTGTCAGAAACTCAAGAAAGTAACAGACGCCTCCTTATGATGCTGACACCTGAGCAGACTCTGCCAAAGAAGAACTATTGGTCCTTCACTTGTGGGAGAGAAATCCTGAAAGCAGAGAAAACCAAACATACCCTTTAGTAACTCATGGATGGGGAAGAGAAACAGGACTTCTCAATGGGAGAAGAGAGATAAATGCCTGCCTTGAAGAGATTGTTATTCCCTTATTATTTTGTTATGAAATTTTGTTTTATATTTCATAAAAAATTTTTTAAAAATGAAAAAAAGAGAAGCACAACTAAATGCACTCACTCAAGTGATTGAAATTCATATAAGAGCAACTAGATTAGAGATGAAGAGTTACACGAATAACTTTAAAGAGGGGCTGCAAGAGACAGGAAAGATGTTCATCAGCCATTTTCTATGAAACTGTCAACAGTGTTGTTGACATAGGATACAATGTCGAGTGGAAAACTGAGCCCCTAAATTGTAATTAAACTATGGTTGTAATTATGTAGAATATGCAGTGCTGTGGACAAAGACTTCCAACACACAGAAATGAACATAGTTATTGTGTTAATGTTAATGTAGCGATGTCATTCGTTTTCCACTGTTAAATTGTGTGGTGTGAACATGGGAGTGGGATGCAGAGAGACTAAATATAGCCTAGTAGTAAGATCACTACACAAGGAATCAGGAACCTTTGTCTTAAGTTTCACATGGCTGCACCAGCTGTGAACATAACCTCTCAGAGCCCTAGTGTCCAGATATAGAAAGTGAGAATAATAATAACACCTGCCCTGCAGTCATGGGGTAGTGAAAGCACTCTAAATTTGAAAGTACTGTAGAGGATTGGGTGATGAATTAGGGCCAGAGTGCTGTATAAGGTAGAATAAAGACTCCCAGAACTCAGCCTCTCTCTCTTGAGGCCCACCCTCTGTTTCTTTGAGGGTGTATTTATAAAATTTTGCCTAATAAATCTTTTCATGCCTCTTAAAAAGAAGTCCAGGACTCAAAAATTTACCCTAAATTTCTTTTCTCAGTAGTCACTATGAAAGCTAGAGAGCTTGTGTTACCTCATTTCATTTCACAATAACTAATTACAAGCCCTTAATGAGCATCTACTCATTGTTTCACTAACCAGGTTTTCCAATACCATTTATCCTCTGTTGATTTGGAAAAACTTTATCATATACCTGAGTTTATTTCTGAATGGTACTATTTCACTACTCATCATTCTGCTTTAATTATTGTAGACTGATAAAATTTTTAACCTGGACAAGCAACTTTTCATAGTTGATGTCAATAGAATCCAGGGCAGAGAGGGATCTATGAGGAGGTAGCTAAGCTTAGGCCTAAGGGAGTAAGAGCCCAATGGTACTCTGTAGTCCAGCACATTTTTCCAGGGGACTTTGGAATCAGAGGGAGCTTGACTGAAATCCTAATTTATTGCTCACCATCTGGGTGACCCAAGGTGCATTACTTACTCTCTTTAACCTCTGTCTCATCTATAAATTGAGAACAAGACCAGTTACCTCAAAGTGTCACCATGTGGATTCAAGCTTTGTGGCTGAATTCCAGCCAGTGTCCTATTTCCTTTCCTTTGAAAGCCTTCATAGTGGAAAGGACATGGCTTCCCTTTCTTTGGTTTTCTTATAGCTGCAAAAAAGGAAGAAGAGCAGAAAGTTATCATCAACTTCCATCCAGCATGCCAAAGGCTTGTTTCAATGGGCAGAGATACCTGATAACTGTATGGTAAAGAAGCAGTGCATTTAAATTGTGTACATGTATTTGCTTCTCCATAGGTATGGTAAAGCAGGAATACTGCCTGAGCTAGGATTCATAAAGGCACTCTCATTTTACAGCCAAGAAAAGGGATATCAAATAGGTAGGAACTCCTGGCAGTTCATGCCTGTCAGACCTGGAGGAGAACTGAGCAAAGAGAAATGAGAAATTGTGGAAGGCACTGAAAACGGGTTAGAAAACAGGTGTAGAATAATGGAGCCTCTTTCTTCTGCTCTGACAAGTTAGGACTTTAAGTGATTTGGGGGCAGAGATCACATCGATTACCTCCCTTTTTGTAGTTTCTAAAAGATATTGAATAATGTTTAAAAATGATGATTAGAGTGAAGAAATGTCACATAGGGCCCCAGAGCAACCCTCTGCCTCTACCAGCAGCCAGGATGACTTTAGAGGGAGGTCTCTGATGTCTTTTCTCCTTGGGAAGTGATAGATGGAGTCTGATCATAATTAATTTTAATAGATACCTGATGTGCTATGATAGAATCTTGGTCATTCAAATGAAACAAGACCAAGCAACCAATTTGGACAAAAATAATCTCAGTTCCCTCTTACCATTAGCTTTCAAACAAGTTAAGTCTAGTTAAGAACTACTTAGTGGTGATTGTACCTAGAAAAGCATAGATAAGAAGGACAGTGACATTCACTGTCTGAACTGGACAGATGAGAAATAATAAAATAATAATATGTACCATTTGCTGAGGCGCTGACATATGCTCTTTGCTGAGTTGTGTGCTCAGTGTACATTATGTCTCATTCATTAGTTCTTTCCACAAATGGTACTTGAGTGCCTATGATGTGCCAAGCTTTCTGGGGGTTCCACAGGCCACAAAGCAGAGAAAGTTCCCACCTTTGAGGAATGTTTTAGTATGTATAAGCAAAGGAACACATACTATCATTTCAGGCATACTATCATTTCAGGGACAGAGAGGGGCTGGGGAACATATAGGGGGATTTTAGGGTGGGCCTCTGAGAAGCTGACCTAGTGGTATGGAGTGAGCTTTGCAAAACCCAGGAGGACAACTGTCCCTGGGAATGAGTAGCCAGTGCAGAGGCACTGAGGGGAGGTGAGTTTGAAATCCTCAAGGCCAAGGTGGCTGGAATGGAGTGAGTGGGTAGGAAAGGGGCAGAAGAAGCAGGAGGGAGAGGTGAGAGGCTAAGCCTTGTGGGGACTGATAAGGATTTCCGGTGTCCTTCTGAGGACAAGCAGCTCTCAGGCATTTCTGAGCATGGCAGGGTGACCTGGAAGCTGACTGGGATGGAAATCCACATGCAGGAGACCTAATCTCTCACCACCACTTGACCATGTTATCTCCAGAGAGCCCTCAGCCCATTGAAGCCTATGGGGTTGGGATGACCTGCAGAGTTCTCCCAAATTGAGCTGGGAGGCCTGGACCTTATAAGCTGGCATCAACAAGCTGCTATCTCCCTAGAGGTGATAAACTTGGGTGAGGTAGGTCCTTTGGGACCCATACTTGGAGCAGGACGCAGCTGTGGGCTCTGGCAGTCAACACCCTCAGCAGCTGATGCAAGGATGTGCCCCCACTGAAGGAGGAAGTGGGAGCACCCACCATAGATCTGTTTATGGTTTTATTCTAACAGTCCTCTAAGGGAGGTATTTTTATTTCCTTTGGATAGGAGGAATCTGAGGCCCAGGAAGCTTTGGCAACCAGTTCAAGTCACGTTAACAGATGTTGGGTTTGAACCTAGGTCTCTCTGAAGCCAAAGACCATATATTTAAAAAATTATGTAAAATATACATAAATAAATTTTACCATTTTAACTATACTTAAGTGTACAGTTCAGTGGCATTAAGTATATTCACATTGTTGTGAGTCATCACTACCACCCATGTCTAGAATGTCTTTCATTTTATAAAACTGAAATACTGTACCATTAAACAATAACTTGTTCATTCTCACTTCCTGAGTCTCTGGTAACCACCATTCTACCTTCTATCTTTATGAATTTGACTATTCTAGATACCTCATATAAGTGAAATTGCACAGCATTGTCTTCTATGGCTGGCTTATTTCACTAGCATGATGTTTTCAAGGCTCATCTGTGTTAAACAGTATGTTCCAGGATTTCCTTCCTTTTAAAGGCAGAATAATATTCCATTATATAGATATACCATAGTTTTTTGAATCTGTTGGTAGACATATGTGTTGTTTCTACTTTTTGGCTCTCATGATTAATGCTGCTATGAACATGGCTGTACAGATATTTCTCTGAGACTTTGAGTTCAATTTGTTTGAAAATATCCCCAGAAGTGGCATTGCTGGGTCACATGGTATGCTATGTTTCATTTTTTTGAGGAGTAATCATACTGCTTTTCACAGAGGCTGCCCTATTTTTCATTTTCACCAGCACTGTTCAAGTATTTCAGGGCTTCAATTTCTCCTCATTCCTGCCAGCACTTTTCTTCCCTTCATTCATTCCTTTGTTGCCTTCTTTCTCTGTCCCTCTGTGTCTCTCTGTCTCTGTCTCTCTCTCCTCTCTCTTCTAGTAGCCACCCAAATGGGTGTGAAGAGGTATGTCACTGAATAATTTTAAGACCATGTGATTTTCATGCCACCCTGCTGTCTCTCAGAAAAGAATCAAAGATTTCAGGAATATGTTCAGTTCCCCCACTCCACTTTTCAGGTGAAATATGTATTTTTTTATTCATTAAGTTTGTTGGTACATTTTAGGTATACAGTACAGTTACATTCATCATTGGGAACTTGTACCTTTACATGATATATCTTGATTCGTATTTTTCCCCCATTTCCCTACCCTCCCTTCAACCCCTCCACCCCTCCCTATTTACAAAGACTTTGTTTCCATTTTTTCCTTTTCTCATGTTTTTTCCTTTCCCTTATTTCCTTTCCCCTACCCCTCCTAGGTCCCCTTCCCCTTTAGACCTTTTCTTCCTATTTCACATTATCTATTATAGATTTTGATCCTTATTTACACTTTCAGTTTCTCACACCAGAGAAACTATTTGGTATTTACACACGTGTGTCCTATTTATTTCACTTAAAAGTATAGTCTCAATATGGATCCATTTAGCTATAAATGTCTCTAGTTTCTCATTCTTTATGGCTGAGTAGTACTCCATTTTATAAAAAAACTCCACATCTTCTTTATCCAGTCTCCACTTGATGGGCAATTGGACTGTTTCCATGTTTTAACTATTATAAACTGTGCCACTATAAACATGATTTCAGGTGAAATATTGACATTATTTGGTCAAGACCCAAACTCTGTTAATTAACCAAGTCTCTTGATTCCTGGAAACTACAAAAAAACACATTCTGAATATCCCCTGTGACACACAGACAACTAAAAAGGAAAACAAAAATTGGCATCATATGCTGAATCAGTCTTGAAAGTTTTTGTTCAAGGATCCTAAGACAGTTTCAAGAACTATGCTCTTCTCTACACATTTTAGAACTGATATCTATTATTTTATCATAAATTTAAATATAGTTGCAAAGAATGTAATTTCTAGCATGTTGTAAATATTGGAATTTAAAATAAAACTGTGACATCACTCTTTTAAATGTATCTAAATGAAATTTAAATCCCATCACAGTTTGTTACCTTATCATCCATTTGGGAAATACAAAAACAATGCCATCTTTAGCTAGCAAAAATGACATTGTTTTCCTTTGAACCTTTATTTCCATTCTATTTCCCCTTCAGAAATTTATGCTAATATAATATAATTATGAGACAAAGTTTTATACTGAATATCATGTTGTACTTGGATCTATCAAGCATATATAAAATTTAAATTTATATACTTTAAAATTCCTGTGACTTAAGGCTGTAAGTGATTTCTGGATTGAGTTATCTTTACAATTACTAGTATTACTCAATTGATCAAAACAATCTAAATGAATAGCAAAGTTTGATAAATGCCAACATAAAAACTAAAGTTTTACTGGAAGTTTGAGTTTTTTAATAAAAATGATGGTGTCCTTTTTCAAATGTTATGTGATTGTGAGTAAATGTTACTTATCGCTGGATTGCTAGGATAACAAAGTGTGTGGCATCACTTCTACTTTTATTTTTCATATTTAAGGCTGGAGAAATTCTTCTTCCTATGCACAAGGAGGTGGGAAGGGAAAGAGTTTTGTTATAAAAACATCCTTCAATTTTTGGAATGGCATCTTGAGTTACTGCCCCAAATCACATGGTAATCTATTATCAAAGGTAATTTTTAAGATCAGTCAGCCAACTTTACTAGATCCTCCTTCAATTTCGTTGAAATTCAACATTGGATACTGCCTGATTTGCAAAAGATTTGCTACCCAATCTGTTATGGGTTGAATTGCCTCTCTCCCCAAATTCATATATGGAAGTCCTAACCCAAGAACCTCAAATGTGACTTTATTTGGAAATAGAATCCTTGCAGATGTAATTAGGGAGGCAAAGGCCATTAGGGTGGGCTGTAGTCCACTATAACTGGTGTCCTTATAAAAAGAGGACATTTGGAAAGAGAGATAGATGTGCATAGTGAGGGAGATGAAAGAAAAAGTTGCAGGGAGAAGATAGCTATCTGCAAGCCAAGGAGAAAGGCCTGGAACACATTCTCACTTGTGGCCTTCAGAAAGAACTAACCATGGCTACACCTTAGTTTTGGACTTCCGGCCTCCAGAACTGGGAGAAAATAACTTTCTATGGCTTACACTTCAGTCTGTGGTTCTTTGATATCATAGCCCATAGCCTTTACAGCCACTAACCTGCACCAATATTTTCCATTTTTCCTCTACTTGGTTCTATATTTTTTTAAACTCTAAAGCAATGCATGCCAGTAAGACTGGGAATGAGTGAAAGGGACCCCCCCCCTTCTTTTTTGTTAAAAAGCCGTTGTGAAAGAAGGGCTGGGTGTTTTTGACAATCAGATATTGAATTTGAAGAACTGCATGTTGCTTTCCTTCAAATCACCCTTGTCAGCGGGCCCCTTTGGGAAGTGTCAGGCTCAGAAGAATGGCTGTGTCTGGCTGAAGATGGCTATGCCAAACTGGAGAATGTCTGCTGTAATTCAGGGATGTAGAAAAGGCTTTGTCAGCTGGCAGTGTAGATGATGGCATTTTCATAGAGGATAGGGTGTCTGCTGGCCTGCGTGTAGACTTGATTTGTGGCAAGGGGAAGAAAGGGTGTTCCAACCAGAGAGGAAGGAACTTGGGAATGGACTTCTGAGCAGATTAGGAGCTCTAAGGTAATACCGGCACACAGGGCCCATGCATGTAGGGGGCTGGGAGCTTTTACATTGGTACTAGAAATTTTTTCATGAGGAAGTGACATGATGAAAGTGGTACTTAGGAATATCACCTGGGCTTGCATATGGAAGATGGGTGGGCGTGTGCTGAGCTGAGGGGGCAAGAAGGAATCCAGGGGTGTGGTCATTAATGGCTGGATCAGTGTAACAGTACTGGAGACCAAGAGACAGCTGTTTGCTGGTTGTGATGGAAATAGAAATGGCCATATTAGAGCTCAGTTGTGTGCTTCCTGCTTAATGATCTTTATTTCATATTGGGTGTCAAGTCTCGGAACAAACTCCCTGCCCTCCCTCTGCTCTCACACTGCTTCTACACTGGTGGGATATTTAAAGCCCAGGAAGATGACACACTCCTCAGTGAATCAAGCAGAGGTACAATAGGGCATTAAGTCTCTGTTGCTTGACCCTTTCATTGTAAGGATGAGGTGAGTAACTGCATGTGAAAACACTTGGTTGACTACAAAATCCCTGCAAATGCAAAGATTCAATTGTTTGTTTTTCCTTCATACTGTGGATGCTTTTCTCTCTCAGAGGGAGTAAAGAGGTTTTCTGAGAGCCTCACTTACCATTAGCCTTGAGGAATTGATACCCAGGTAACAGGGTCCACTGTGCAATGCCTGAAATTTCATGGGGATTCCTCCCTTTCCAAATCGGGAAGGTGCTGCAGTGCACCCTGCTGAGCCCACCAGGAGAAGAGCTGCTCTTTCCTCCTCCTTCTGGATTCTCTGAGGTGTCTGGCCCTGTGCCCAGCTCTCACAGAGCACTGCTCATTTTCTGTCAGAATTGTGTCTTCTTGATTATGTAGCAACAGAAACGAAGCTTTCCTGTGCTCTGAAAACCAGACGTTTTTGCGGCCACATGCTTCTCCTAGTCCCAGTCTAAACAGGGAAGCACACAGAGCATTAGAACAACCCAGACACATACTCTCTGCTTGCTCCTAAGCAGTACAGACCATTGTACTTTTGAGACTCTGTGAGGATAAGAAAACTGCTTGTAAACTAGAAGAAACTGGTGGTCATTCTCCTTATACCCATCTCCCTAAATCACATTCACATTTTGTGGGACCCTGAGGTTGCTGGAACCTTCTGGTGTTCTAAGCTTTCCAGAGAGCTCTCTTGGGTATCATGGTAGAGACATCTCCCTTGGCATGAGGCTACGGACACCCCAAGAACTTGAACACTGCCATTTCTTTCCAGGATGGAAGAATCACCCTCATTGGTGTTCTTACCTACACTCTGCTATCTCTTAGTCATGTGTAAGTGTCTCTGATTATATGGATGCAGGACAGCAAATCCAGTGTCAGAAAGACAAGAGGTGGCATCAGCTGATCCCTCTGGCATTCATATCTGTTTCCTAGATCCAGAGAAAAGCTGGTATAGTGAGATGACAATAGTCCCTGTCACTTTGCATGTAGTTACCAGGTACCAGGCACAGTGCCAAACACTTCAGACATTCACTCATTTCCTTCTCCAGCTCCATGGAGGGAAGGCAACGGCAACTGAAAGCAGATGAGTAACTTTCCCAACGTCTAAAATCTAGAGGGTAGCTGGGCCCACCAGGATGAGTTAAACTAGGTTTTGGTAACAACGGACCCTCAAATTTTAGTGACTTACACTAACAAAGATTTAATCCTCCCACATAATATACATCTAACAAGGGTCACTGGAGGCTCTACTTCCTTCCAAATGTGGGGTACCAGGGGACACCACCTGGGCACTGCTGGCTGTCACAGCAGATGGAAGAAGAGGACCTGGTTGAGTGCTCACTAGTCTCCTGTTACTTTATGTTGGTGACTACAGCTTGTCATATGGCCAACTTTAAAGGGCAGGAAAGAGGAATAACTGTGGGCAGCCCAAAGGATGGTTATGATAGCAGAGGAAGGGTCTTCAATGGAAGGTATTTTCTAAAGCCCAGGCCTTTTGCCTCCTATAAAAGCTTCTATTTGCTCAGCCCTGAACACCTCACGGGTGCCAAGTGCTAGGCATTTTACAGATATTATTACTAGTAGTAGTAGTAGTAGTAGTTGGGATTAAACTCAGGGTCTTGGGCTGGGGATTTAGCTCAGTGGTTCCAGTGCCTGGCTCGAAAGCCCAATGTCCCGAGTTTGATCCCTGGTACCTGCTCCCCCCCAACAAACACCCCTAAGGGTCTTTGTGCTGAGCTACATTCCCTCTCCTCCATCCTTTATTTTGAGGCAGTGTCTCACTAAGTTGCTGGGGTGCTCAGGCTAGGCTTGAACTTGTGCTCTTTCTGCCTCAGCCTCCCAGAAAGCTGGGATTACAGGCGTGGCTCACCATGCCTGGCTACAGATATTATTTCTGATCCTCACAACATCCTGTTAGGTAGATACTATTATTACCTTCATTTCACAGACAAAGTTATTGAGACGTGGAAAGAGCTTGGAGTAGTTTGAGCCAGATGGCACAGGAAATAAAAGATGACGCTTGTGCAGTCCTTGGGTCAGTCTGACTCTGGAGACTGTGTTCTTTCTGTTTGCCAGGAGGATTTCCACTTCAGTTTTGCAACAAAAGAACCACATACAGTTTCAAAAGATAAAAAATTAGCTTAGTCTTGTATTTACTTATGTTGATTAAAATTATAAAAATTGCTGTCATATAAAAATTTTATTGTATAATTTCTAACAATATAAGGATCAGGGAGAAAGTGAAAAATCACTTGTAATGAAAACTTCTAGAGTCACTGCTAACATTTTAAATATGTCCTTACAAACATGTTGTCTTGTGACTTGCTTATTCACATGACAATATGTTATATACTGTACATCTTTCCAATAAATGCACTTCATTTTTAATGACTGAATAATATTCTTTTGAGTGACCATGGCACAATTTATTTTCAATTCCTTGAGGATGGATATTGATCTTATTTCCAAAGTAATCACTGTTTTGTCATTTTTGAGTTCCATCTTTCTTTAGTTTCTGAACCAATTGATGCCTTCACCAATGAGAAAAATTGTAATAGTCAAAGATCTTTCATCAAAACATTAGTCCTATTGTTACCTCTTTTCTTTCCTTCCTCCATAGCACCGCCCCCCCCCTCCCCCCATGGTTTTGAAATGCTTTGTTCCTGGAATCTGGGGCCAGGGGGTTTCCTTGGCATTTCTTTTTTATTCATGTAATTTTTCTAAAATTTCCCTATAAACTGTATTCTTTATTTTTCTTTTCTTTCTTTTGGCTCCTCTGTATTCATACTCATTTACTGTATATTTGCATGTTCATATTCCAGTACCACTCAACAACATATTTTGTGCTTTTGCTGGCTGTTAAATTGCAGCAAGGCATACAACCTTTCAACTGGAGCCTCTTAGCTTCCTTTTCTACGGCCCCAACTAATCACTGCTCAAACCCACCACCTTCCTACCCACTGCATATTCCCTCCTTTGCTCATGTTATTCTCTAGACCTGGAATGGCCTGTATTGGCATCCGTGGTTGGTCTCCAGGGGTTCAGCTCACATGCCTGGCCTTTCACGAAGGCTTGTCTGCCCCCTTTCCTTAGTCAAAGTTAATTGTTCTTTCCTCTGTGCTTCGCAGCACTTCATTATTATCTCTAAAACACACTCATTTAGGAAAACATTTATTCGGTGCCTACGGTGGGCTCTGAAGGGCAGGAGGAGACAGAAGAACAATAAGCCTTGGCACCCACGCTCTGAGACTCCTTAGCCCCTTAGTGCTAGTGTGAACACACAATCCCAACACAGGGTGGTAAAAGCTGATGGAGGTAAGCACAAAGTGCGAAGGATATCTCATGGCCTGACCAGCACCGGTTGACTTTTATTTAATGGGTGCTTTTCCTTCATAAGTCCGGATCCTGAGAGGTAAGGGAGCCATTTAAAATTCATCTTCCTCTCACCCCCACCCCCACCCCCACCCCCAAACGCCAGGACTGTTTACAGTGGCTGCTGTGACGCTCCATGCTAATGAATCATCTGAGGTGTGAAAGAAGGGTCCTAGGGGTGGACGCCGGGCACAGGTCCAGTCCCATGGCCCACATTTCCCGGAGTCCAGTCTACTTTTTCACATCTTTCTTTCTCCCTGAAATAGATGCACACTCGCCTCCAGATTTAGAATAGGAGTCATGACTATTTCACGAAAGACTGGAAAATATGACTTTTCCAGAAATGGTCTGGGTCGGTCATAGATCTTCAGGCTCCTGGCAACTGAAGGACACGGCTGTGCCCTAATTGGATCCATTTCCTCCCAGGCCTGATTGGGAATTTTGCACCGGCTCGGTGAGCCGTACACCTCGGCCCCCGGGGCCAGCAGGAGACGCTGGAGCGGGGCCTCTCCGCCGGGGCGCGCGCTCTCTGCCGCCTCAGGCTTCTCCAGCTCTCCACGCCTCCGCCCGATCCAAGCGCGGGTCCGGAGCGGGTTTTGTGGCCTGCCCAACGCCAGGCTAGTGGAGCCGGAGGCTGGCGCCGCCGAGGCCGCCGCGGCCGGGGTGTGGGGAGTGCACCGCGCACGCGCGCCCGTGGGGTCGCCGGCTCCCCGCGCCCGGGCTCCGAGCGGCCGGAACCCTCGCGCCCCGCCCTGCCCGGAGCCACCCGGAGCCGCTGAGTCCCGGACCCGCTCCGCTGGCCGGGCGGGGCTATTTTTTTCGGCCCGTGTTCTTTCAGCGGCCGGGAAGGAACATTCTTGGCTTTCCCCGCCTGGCTGCGCCTGTTCCCGCTCCTCCCCCGCCGCGTGTTTTCCGCCCCAGTAAAGATCGTGCCACACAAATAAGCCTCGAATGCCCTTTGCCAAGCGGGCGGGAGGGCACGAGTGCAGAGCCTGAGCGGGCCATTTTCAGGGCGCGTCTCCGGAGCCGCTAAAAGTCTTGTTTTCTCCCCAAGTGGAAGGTATAGGGGGCGGGGGCGGCGTGGGGCCGCTTCCAACTGCTACACACGCTCGAATAGTTGTCAGTAAAATCAAACTGACGTCAGCCCGGGGGAAAAAGGTCTCTTTTGTTCTCCTGTTCTTCCCCCTCTCCTCCCTTGCGATCAAAGGCAAAAAACATTTTTTTGGAGGTGGGGGAAAAGACAAAAAGGAAAAAAAAATTGCAACGCAAAGAGATAGCTTCCATTAGAGCTCCTGCCCGGGCGACGGGAATGTTTAATGAATGCATCAAGTCTTTTGATCACCCTCGCCCGGCTGGGTTCAGTAGTGCCGGAAGGTTAGTTGCATATCCTGTGGCTGATCTGAAATTCGATCAGCAGAGGGGGCAAAGAAAAGAAAAGCATTTTAATGGGAATCAATAGAGGATCATAGGTCCTGGAAGGAAATACGTGTTGATTAAAAATGCCAGAAGATTAAAAAAATGTTCACGACTGGTTAAAAAATAAGGAGGAAAGGAAAAAGCAAGGGAGGGAGAGGGAAGAGAAGAGAGGAGGATAGGGGGAGGAGGAGGGAAAAAAACCTCTTAGCAATCTATTTTCTGTGTGTGTTGCTGCCAGAGAGGCAGTCAGCAGACCAACAGTTTGTGTAATGCTTCAAGCTACAGCGGGCAAATTTAAAGCTGTATGCTCAGAACAACATAATAAATACTTATTGAAAATGCATTTCTATTTCTAAGCGGGGTTCACTCATGCATTATACAAAACACCTAGGGCTGCAGTAGCGAGACACAGGGGACAAATATGGTGTACTGTGACTCAGGTTCTTAAAACTTGAGCTTTTAGCAGTTGAGAGTAAGAACATACTTTTTTAAAGTTAAAAAAACAACAACTAGCAGCTTTGAAAGATACCAAAGACTTAAATTGCCCGAAACTTTACATTAAGTCGTAACTTAAAAAATAGTCTGATAACTGAGGATGAGGAGAGAGTGGGAGGGGAGTTAACCACGGTAGATAGCATATTGACTGGGTTACAGAGTGGAAAATTATTGCCCTGTAGGTAGGCAAAGTGATCAACAGTGTGATAAAATGGTTGAAGGTTTTATGAATATCCATCTACTACAGTAGGAAAGGAAAGAAGGCTTTTAAAAACCCACTCTGACACAAAAACACAGCTATACATCCTATTTCTATGGCTTTTTGGAAAAGAATCAATAGCGTTTACATTTTTACACATTAAACAAAGAAAGTTCCTTCAGTATTGTGAAGACATCCAGAAGGCAATGGTTGGTGAGCTTTTCTTTCATTAGTGTTTTAGGAGCTTCTCTGAGGAATTCTGCATTCTAATCCTGACCCTTTACTCATATCTTCCTTAGTCTTACCTTTTCTTTCAGTATTACTGAAGGGCATAAAGAGGATCAGGGAGCTTTTTTAGGGCACTTTCTCTGGGATATTTCCAATACAGGTGTGCCTGTGGCTCTAGGATCCCCTATGGATTCCCAAGTCTGTTCAAGTCCCTAACATGGTTTGGAATTTGAATATAATCTACACAATCCTCCTGTGTGCTTTAAATCATCTCTAGATTGCTTATAATACCTAATCCAATAGTTGTTATACTGTATTGTTTAGGGAATAATAACCAAAAATTTTTTGTATGTATTGAGTACAGACACAATTTAAAAAAGATTTTTCTCCATCTTTCATTGGTTAAATCCTGGATGTAGAAGCCATGGATAATGGAAGCTTAGTGGGTGGAATGTATTTGATTTCGGTAGTTTGGATAAAAGAGAATCTGTTGAAATTAAGATTTTCTTGTTCTGCCACAAATTTTCTTACTTCAATATTTGGTCTCCACTAGAAGGCAGGGACTATATCTCCTTTCTAATTCATTTCCCCAGCAATGCTCTTAGAGCAAAATCTTGCACGGGGAGCTGATTGAGTGCTTTGGGTTAATATTGGCAGATGGCACACTGGTTGAATTTCAGAGACAAAAAGTGTTACTGGGTAACCTCAGACGAGTGACTTAGTTTCAAGTTTCTCACCGGTAAAATGGGAATACTTATACTTACCAGGAATCACTTTTGTGGGCTGAAATAATGTGCACAAAGCACACCACATAATTTGTAATATCTTACTATATAGAGAATTTAAGTTATTTATATTATGTAACATCTATTTGTCTATCCATTCATTCATCTATTTGTTCCTTTTCCAGAGATCTCCCATCCAGGAGATCTTCAGTCATGCTGTCCAGTGGATCCTCCTCGAGTCTGAGCTGCAGCTGAGGTGATGTTAAATGACTTCCAATACTGGCTTCTAAGAGTCTTGCTGTCTCTTGGAATGATGGCTCTTGGGACACTCCCTCCCAGGACCCAGCTGTAATCTTCAAGAATGAATTGTGTGTAGGTGAGTTGCATTTAGGTGGGCAGGTTGATAACACTCCAATTGCTCCCAGCAGTGTTCTCCTTGCCAAAAGACAACATCTCTGTGAATTAGCCATCTTGGATATCCAGGGCCCCTAACACCACATGTACCAGGACCTTTGCGCTGAACTACATCGCCAGCCCTGTTTAATTTTTTATTTTGAGAGAAAGTCTTGCCAGGTCACCAACTTGCCCAGGATGGCTTAAATTTGAAATTGTCCTGCCTCAGTCTCCCAGGGTGCTAGGATTATAGGCCATGTACCTCTCCATCCCTGTCGAACCTTCTGATGACACTAGCTCTAGCTGGTACTATCTGATCACAATTGCATGAAAAAAACCCAAGCAAGAACTGCCTGACTCTGCTTAGCTGACCCACAGAACCATGAGAGGTAAAAAACAAACAAACAGAAAACACACAAAACAAAAACATAAAATGAGCAAATGCTAACATTTGTTCTCCAAATTTCGTGTGCAAGAAAACTTAATATCCAAATTGAAATGTCAGTGATACTAAAAGGTAAGATCTTTGGAGGTGGGCCATGGATTGATGGGTTGATGAGGGAATGGCTGTGTTGTAAAAATGAACTCTCTTTGACACTTGTTCCCTCTTGTTCTCTGATGCCCTTCACCATGTTATGAGGCAAGTAGGGCCTCACCAGAATCTAAACAGATGTGGCTGCCTGTTCTTGGACTTCTAGGCTCCAGAACTATGAGCATATAAGCTAAATTAAAAAAAAAAAAGTGTGGTCTTAGGTATTCAGGTATAGCAACAAAAGATGAGTGAGACAGCTAGCTTTTATTGGTGTATTTATTCTACAATAGGTATTAAGCCTGTTTGTTTAATAAATAAAAATGAAATTGGATAACTGCTTGGCAGTCTCTTCCTCACCTCTTCCTGCCTGTTCCTGTTATTCTTCAGCACCCACAATAACATGTCAGCCATATTGCTGAAGCTATTGAGCTAGGTGTTGGCTGCACAAAGAGAGAATTTTGTATGACCCTTTCCCAGGGAGGCTCAAAGTCCAGATGAAGAGAGAAGCTGCTTTTCCCATGAAAGGCAGACTATCTGTATATGCTAAATCTTGGCCTAGAGTGATGCATGTTGAACCATTTGTCATTAAATGAAAATATTGTTTTCTATAACATGCTCATCAAAGGGAGAAGGAGCCATGTCGGGTTTGAACTGGCCTTTTGCTTACAAGGAGTTTTCTCTTTTCTTTCTTTTTTCTTCCTTTTTCTCCCCTCAGTACTGGGGATTGAACCCAGGTCCTTCACACAGAGCTACATCCGCAGCTCTTTTTTTGAGATAGGGTTTTGCTAATTGTTAAGTTGCCCAGGGTTGAGCTCAGACTTTAGACCCTTGTGTCTTAGCATGTCAGAGTGCTGGGATTACAGGCCCACAATACTGTATCCAGCTCCTTAGAGGGATTTTTTCCCCCAATTCTTTTGATGTGCTTCTTCCTTTCCTCGATTTTCAAAATGTTAGCATTCCGGAGGACACATTTTTACTAGTTTAGGAGCCACCAAAATGAACAGGTCTAGTATCTTATTTTATTTTATATTTATGCCAGTAAATAATCACTAGAAATATACATACATGCCTCAGTGTCTGTGGGGGATTAGTTCCAGGATTCCCTGTGGATAGCAAAATCCAAAGATGCTTGAGTCCTTTATATAAAATGGCATAGCATTTGCAGTTCCCCTATGCACATCCACTGTGATGAGAAAAAGGTCTGTACATACTTAGTATAGATGCAGTTAAAAATGTTTTACATCCATAGTTGGTTGCATTCACAGTTGCAGAACCCATAGCTATGGAGACCAGCTGTACACCTCTTATCTGTAGTACATATAGTGAGTGCCCTTTGGTCCTTGGTGGAGTGTGAATGATGATTTCTACGTGGGAGGGCCAGGTCTTGAGCTACACCTGCCATACGGTCCATTTTCTAGAGTTACAGTGGTCCTGAAAGGCTTTTCTTCCACCACAGATGAGTTTACCCAAGAATAGTGTGAGGGAGGAGGTGTGGGCAGGATGTCACTTGGGGTTCATGAATAATAAGTAAAGTACAATTTAATTTAATCTTTTTATTTTGAATGAAAATCTGAAACTTAGCCTCTCATTTAAAAATTTAACAAAAATCGTAAATGGAAAGAAAATGTTTATAAATCTCAACAGTTGTGGTTAAAGGCAGAAATGGGCATGGGGGAGGAAAAGGTGGGTGCATGCTTGTGGAGAGAAGAGGAATAGGTAGCTTCATGGATCGCAGGATGAGGCCATGTCACTTCAATATTTAGTTGGATTACAGATGAACTATCTTTAGTTGCATGTTTTTGTGTGTGCTTTTAAAAAATATTTACAATAAAATGTTTACATAGATAAAACCCAAAGCCTTTTTAAAAAAATGGTTTACATATTTGAATATACATTGCATGTAATAAGCCTGGTGAAAAAGATTTTTCATAACCAAAAGGTCAGCTCCTCTTCATAGACCCTTCAGAAGTGTTCTGAATACAATAGCTCCAACAATCTTCCAGAATGGAAATTGCTTTCTGGAATGCACCATTTGGAAAGTGTAATGTCTTCTCATATGGTACTGGCCTAAGTTGCTTTCCAGACCTTGCTGCTGTCTGTGGCTTAGTTTGTATCATCCTATGGTGGCTTGTAAATTTCATTTCCGTAGGATGATCGGGTCACTCAGATCGGTTTTTGTGGTTGAGACTTTCTCTTGAAATTGGGACCTTTTAATGAAGCTTGATCCATGTGTTCTATTCATTTAATTCAACAAATATGTGTTATCTGCCTACTGTGGACAAACACTGCATGCACAAAGGGTAGGGATATATTGTTGAAGCCACAGTTGTAGCCTTCTGACAGTTTCCAGGTGTGTTGAAAAGACCCATAGGCAATCAGGTGAATACGGGCAGGGAAACTTGAGCCATGTTGAACACTCCTAAGGAAGCCAGCAGAGAAGGGAAAAGCGGGAAGTATCCTCAGGAAGCCTGAGTTGAGACCAAGAAAAATGGTGGGATTCACCCAGGTGAGGGCCAGGGCATGTGAAAACATGAAGGGAGGCGGAAAAAATTTTTTTTCGACATCAGGAATTGAACTCAGGACCTTGCACTTGCCAGGCAGGTACAGCACCACTGAACTAAATCCCTGGCCCCAGGAGACTGAAATTGTAAGTACAGTATGTGAGATGTGCAGACACTACCAATTTTGCCCCAGGTTGTGTAAACACACCTGGACATAGAGATATTTCAGCTCATCCTGGACTTTTAAAATCTTTGAAATGAGTGACTGATAGAAGATTCACTTATCTGTTAAAGCAATGAGGTGTTTTGCAGACTAAATATGCCCCATTATGGCTTCTGAATCTGATGGACCCTCTAAAGCAGAGTTTAATCTGTAATACTGGTGGGAGATTTTTTTTTTTTGGTACTGGGGATCAAATTTGGGACCTTGCGTTAGCGAGGCAGGTGCCGGAACCACTGAGCTAAATCCCTAGTCCTGGTGGTAGATTTTTGAAAAGTGATTTTTTTTCTTGTTTTTTTTTGGTACCAGGGATTGAACTTGGGTCCTTGCACTTGCGGGGCAGGCGGTGGAACCACTGAGCTAAATCCCCTGCATTTTGGTGGTTGTACTGTCATTGTTGAAGCTGATTATGTTCTGTATTAATTACCTTCTTTTGTACTTAGAAACATTCCAAGATTTTCATTTTCATTTTGTAGTGGTGATATTTTAACTATAGTACATTTTAAAAAAATTGTGGTGAAATACATACAAGATTCAGCGTTTTAACCATTTTTGAGTACAGTTTAGTGGGATTAAGTACATGTATTGTTGTTCAAACCACAACAACCGTATATTGCCAATAATTCCCGTTTTCTCTTTCTCATTCCCCTTCAAACAACCATTCTCCTTTCTGTTTCTACTAATTTGATTACCACAGATACCTCATATAATCAGTTTACATTTTAATGGTTGGCAGAATGACTTTCAGACTTGAAATGGTGTTGGAGAAAGATTTTACAGGAAGAATTACTGAAATGTTTAAGGCATTTACTTGTTATGTATACAGATTTTTGATTTTCTTTTTTTTAAATAAGAGAAGACAATTTATTTGAAGATGAATAAAGAAGAAAAGAGATGAGAGAAAGATACTCTGGATGAGTAGGGAGAAATTGAAAGTGAATAACTCCAGATTTTTGATTTTCTGAGAATTTGTAATTTATTCTGAAGCTGGTTATGTCAGTGCATCTCAAATCATCATCAATGGAGGTCAAAACTATTGCCTAATAAAGACTATAGAACATCTACGATGACAAAATAATGCTATGAATTATATCATGAGATTCTGTCTCCTCTAATTTGATTGGCTGGTTTTTCTATATGTAAAATTAAGTGCTCTTCAGCTGCAAGAATATTCCTCAGCATAACCTTATTAGTTACTCCCTTTTTTTTTTTTTTTGGTACCCGAGATTGAACTCAGGTCCTTGCGCTTGCCCAGCAGGTGGCGAAACCACTGAGCTAAATCCCCGGCCCTAGTTACTCCTTTAATGTGGAAAGAAGATGGTAAATATTATGATGGTGTATTTTTTTTTTTTTTGGTACTGGGGATCGAACTCAGGACCTTGCACTTGTGAGGCAGGCACCGGAACCACTGAGCTAAATCCCCGGCCCTATGATGGTGTATTTGTATAACCATTCATTTTACACATTTCTGTAGATAGTAAAGCTAACATTTTGTTTCAGTCACAAGTGTTTGAGAAACAATTTATAACAATTTCAGTTTCTTAATTTAAATAGTAAAAGAGTTCTGAAAAATAAAGATAGGAAACTATAGCTTATATCATTTCAAACCTTTGCAAAAAAATTCACAGTAAGGTTATAGACATATACTTAGATTATAAATAATTTTAATGCCAAGTTATCTGTGAGAAAATTTAATTAATATAAATTATACATTGCAATAAAAATGATCT